GCTGGATGGCACGTCAGAAACTAGTTTCTTTACCTTCAATTATGTTCAATAATTGTTAAAATGACTAAAAAAGTTAATATTAAACTTTTAAAATTATTGAATAGTATAAACTTATTGATATTTACTAAAATAGTAAGGAATTTAAGCCCTAAAACCGATTACTGTATTGGCGGACTAATACTACAGCTGGTGGACCTCCAAATGCAAGCGAAAACATGTTGAAGTCGGCTCGTAAAAAACTCGTTAATCGAGGGATTGCTCGTTAACCGAAGTTAAGAATCTTATGGAAGGTAAATCGTTAACCGAGGGATCACTGTATTGTATTTTATGATATGCTCTGTATCAAATTTATTATCATAGCAATTTTTGTTAAAGCAGTATAGCGCTACTGGTGTCAGACTTTCAAATACCTGTACTGTAAATTCCGAGAGTATAGCTGTCCTGAGTTATATAAAATTCTGACTGATCAAATGCAGAGTTATCCAGGGTTTACTGTATTAATAGTTCTGCCTGTCTTCCTAGGCCATTCCTCAAGTTAGTAGTTGTCTATTTTTATTTTCCAAGTATCTTCTCAGTCTGGAATATTAAATGGCATAGAGAGGGCTTTCCTGTGTTAAGTGCCCCTCATCTAGAGGACTTCCTTTTAGCCACCTCAAACTTATCCTCAGACATTTGCCTCAATGCCCAGGCCCTCCATCTTCAAATAGCCATCTGTCTTACACCTGCCATTTACATGCGAGACATAAAAAAAGTAAATGACATTAAAGGAGTCTATCTACTGTGGATACAAAAGAGGTTAACTTATAAAACGTCGACCAGGGTAATTTGGGACTGATAATTTTAACTTTGTAATGCTGTCAAAACTATAAGGCCATGAAACTCGTCATGAACATGCATACAGTATACTTACAGACTATTATAAACCATAAAAAATTTAAGTACAGTATATAATAATGGTAGTGTACTTACCAAAGTTATTGCCAATTTTTGTGTCCCACTCTAAGCTGCCAAGGGGTAATTAGGGACAATGCACATAATGTTGCTGGATCTTACTCTACACTTTACTTACTGTTCCTAATGCTCTTAGATATAATGTATGAGGATACATACAATTTTTTTTTGTATTTTCAGTTTCTAATTAACTGATTAACTTGCTACACATTTGTACAATGCTAATTACATGTTGTGCACTTTTCACTTTTTTCTTCTTCTTTTTTGTCATAGGAATACTGTTTGTGCTTCCACTCAAGGAACTGTTTGCTATGTCTCTTCATGTTTGTTTCATCCAGCAGCTTGAACTCCTTTGAACCTTCCAGTTTTAGGGATACAGAACAAGCAAATATATGCCCTCACAGAACTGTTTCTTCCTCGGGGTTTGGTGGCTAGAAGTAAGAATTTGAATTTGAATTGTTCGGTAGTTGGTGAACACTCCAGGAAATGTCTAATGTAGAAAAATTTGTCAAAGTCCACAAGGTAGTACTCATCAACCTGTGGCCTCTGCTGAACTTCTTCAAAGTCTTCCTTATCCTCTGGTAATGGGACGTTGTCATTCGTGTCATCTGAGTTATCCAGGTCAGCTTTATCCTCACTCTGCTCCTCTTCACAAGTTGTGCTGCTCTCATCTTTTCTCTTCTTGGCTTTTGGTTTCTTGGAAAGTTTCCTTTTCGCAACAGCTTCCTTTTCAATGACCATGTTGTGGAAGTTCTAATCTGTGGTAACTCTGGATTCTTGATCGATCTTAATTCTTGTTGGTCGTGTGTTTGTTGACTTTGGAGTGGAGGTGCTGGGTTGAAGGAAGGAGTCTGCAATTATCTGGTCCAGGGTTCATGATGGTGAAGCACCTGGCTCCTTTCTTTGAGTCATAGCAGTGCCAACTGAGGCCCTGTCATCACCAATTCTGCTAAAATTGTACGCCTTGAGTAAGGCCAGATCAAACGTGACTGTTGGGTAGCGATCAGGGTCAACTGGATAGATCCCCATTTTACAGAAAGCAGAGAGGAAATTATCCTCGGTGAAGGCAGTATCCCACACTTCCCCCACAAAGTCTGCCTTGTTGAAATGTTTGGCTTGTGTTTCACATTGATGGTGCACAAGATCTTTATCCTACTGTGGCTTCAATGGGAAAATACAGCACATGTTTAGTGGCTAGTGTGTCAGTACTGAAGTGTGAAGGTGGAGCTTCAAGATCACTACATTGTTTTTCAGCACAGTCTTGATAAGCTTGCTTGACATATGAGATGCATGCCCATCATAGATAAGCAAGAGTGAACACAGTAGCACAGAAGTGATCAAACCATGAGTTTAACACCTCTGTGACCATCCATCCATTTTCTGAGACAGCATATTGTGTGCCTTGATAGGCCTTTATCATTTAAGATGCATATACAGTACAGTGCACAGTTTTAATCATTGTCCTGCTTTACCCCAACAGGGCTGTCTCAGAAGGAGTTTGTAGGGGTATCGAGATATTAATGTTGTCTAGCACTCAGGATGGAAGGAAACTCTAATGTGGTTTTCTTGTATAATATATAAGTTATATGAAGACAGTCTGGTGCTGGAGATGCCGTGTAGTGGGGAGCTGCTCAGTAGAAGACGTTCGGTGAGTAGCGTGTTGAAGGAGGTAGATGTGCAGGAGCTTCGTTAGAGAAGATGTTGCCTGTTGCTGGCCTCCTGGTTGAATAAATGTTAACAGTTAGGAGCTTGCTGGAGGAGGTGTTGCTTGTTCAGGAAAATGGGCAGAATGAGAGTTGGTTGGTGAGGAAGCTCAGAGGACGGCTGGTGGGTCGCCATGCTCGCTGGCGGGAGCGAGGACCGCCAGGCAGGTGAGGAGAAGCGAGGGGCTGCCAGGCAGCGGCGGAGGAGGTGTTGCTTGTTCAAGAAGAATGGTCAGAATAAATCTCAATGGAGAGACAGAGCTTATATACCCAGCAGCAGCTATGAGTCATGTTGGGAAAACCCGAGAAGTCGCCGGTCTTTTGGCTCGGTTGCTAGGATACGGCGGGCATTGGAATGCGGATACACTTGGTTGCTAGGGAGGCGGTAGCAGGTGGTGTGCAGCTACGCAGTTTGTAGGGGAGACGTCCACTACAAGTTATTTGAGACAAGAATATTTTGTCAATATTGTACAGTAATATTGTACGTGAAAACTATTACATACGGGGTATACTGAAATTTGGAATTTGCATTGCGATCTACAACATTTCTATTATATTTTTAAGGTATTTCGGGAAATCAAGAACCATGCAGACTGTGAAGAGCTGCAGAAGGATCTTTGTGAACTCCAAGAATGGTCGAAGAAATGGTGTAAGAGGATGCACCTGGGGCGTACCAACGGCAAGGAGGCGTATCATAATTATGTCCCAACGGGATGAAGAAACTCACTATTTGAGACAATGTGAAAAGGACCTAGGTGTGTATGTTGACAATGAGCTGAAGTTCTCGGGCCATTGCGAGAAGAAGGTAAATCAGGCAAATAAATTATTGGGTCTTATAAGAAGGTCGTTCAGATATCTAGAGGGTCCGTGCCTCGTAACGTTCTTCAAGAGTGAAGTGCTTCCCCATCTGGAGTACTGTCACCCCGTCTGGTCCCAGAGATATGCTAGGTACTGTCAGTTGGTTGAAAATGTTCAAAGGAGGGCTGCCAAACTAGTGCCTGCATTTCGGCACCTCAACTACCCTGAGAGATTGGAGCGCCTGAACTTGCCTAGCTTATAATACAGACGGGCAAGGGGCGACCTAATTAAGGTGTATAAGCATCTCAAGAGGCAATACTAAGTCGAGTGTCCTTACTTGGAGCTGGCGGACGCTCGCCCCACAAGGGGTCACAGCTCAAGACTGAAGAAGTCGTAGGTTCAGAAAACTGTGAAGGCAAACTTTCGGAGTGAGAGTTGTGAACTCTTGGAGCAATCTACCAGAGAGTGTTGTGACGGCACCAAGTGTGAGCTCTTTCAAGACCAGACTTGACCAACACTGGAGCAGGTTTAGGTACATTCAGGTGCTGGTGCATGCCTCGTACTTGCCAACAGTGTGTAACAGAGACGTGACCGATAGCCCAAGCGGCTAACGAGCCGATCAGTGGTGAAGAGGATAGAAGTAAACACTTCATTTTTACCGAGACTTCACTTTTAACTGCAACACCGGCACAACACTCTCTGGCAGGTTGTTCCAAGAGCTCACAATTCCCACTCTATGGGCAACTGAGGAGCTGTAAGTTCAAGTACAGTCTGAAAAGAAGAATATACGGCCAAATTTATATGAAAAATATATGAGGAGTTTCTCTTATAGCAAAATTATATAAAAATCAATGAAATACAGACAAAATAGGCAATAATTTAGGATCACCTGAAGAATCATCGCCCCAGCTTATTTCACCTAAAGATTAAACCACCCTTAAAATATTTTGGGAGGATGAGGTTAGGTTAGGTTATGTTAGGTTAGATTTAGGTTAGGATAGAATAGGTTTAGGTTAGGTTAAGTTAGCATTAAGGTAGTTAATCGTCAGGTGAAATAAGCTTTGGCGATGATTCTTCAGGTGACTCATTATTATTATTATTATTATTATTATTATTATTATTATATTATTATTATTATTATTATTATTATTATTATTATTGCACTATCGCTTAGGTTAATATTGTACTGCTGTTCACTATAGTATGTATGCACTGTCTATGTGCACATACGACTGTATAAGCTAAACCAACTTGAATTTGTATGATGACTTTAATTATTATTTATGTGTCTATCCATTTATTTATTTATCGCTCTAACTATTGTCCCTTATTGTTGAACCTCAGTAAAATATATATATATTTTTTGTAAGGATCACATATATAATTTCAACATACAATTTTGCCATGGATCAGTTATTGTTAGTTGTGACCCATAGTTATCAATAAATTGGCTAAATTATGTATATATATAATATATGTATATTATATATATTATCATGGAAGGGATAATCTTCCATCACTTTATAAGCCGTCCCCCTTAGACGCCCAGGAGACATGGCGGATGATCTACCCTACCAAGCTGAGTACGCCAAGAGTGGCCGTGCTTCTTGTAAAGGATGCAAAGGAAATATCGAAAAAGGTTCTCTACGACTCGCCGTAATGGTGCAGGTGATTAACTTTTACTTTTTATTGTATGGTAGTTTGATGTTTCATAGAATATACCGTTGTGAAGCGAGCCATGTCTCCTTCCCGCCAAGTGTAGGAGCAGTGCTTGGTGGTTACTAGGTCGGGTTTTAACATGTGAATAACACACTTCTCATAGTAGTACAGTATTTGCCTTTACTAACGAGTTATTTATGTAAAACACAAAGTATTATTTTAAGTAAGACATGTCGTTTGACGTTTGCTAAGATGGATTAAAATGGTAAAGAAACAAGACGTTGCAGCATGTGTCATGTTGGGTCTTGTTTGGAATGTTTATATGAAATTGATTTTTACTCTAAACTATATTAATTATGATAGTGTTAAAGCTGTTGTTACAGCATATAACAGAGTATAGAATACTGTACGTACTTATAATTGGACAATTGTACAGACTATAGCGGAGTAAAATATGTTACAAATACTAGTACCGTTAGTTACAATGCTTAGTCTTGACCTCTTATAAGTACAATACCTGTATAGTACCTTATACACACCTATGGGATTGTATTATACTGTATATTATTTTTAGGATATTCTAATATTTTTTTCCTAACTGTACATGTGTTTTCCCTGTTGTAGCTATGGAGACACTGCCTATTTTTTTCATTACATACTGTATTAACTTAGGCAGAAATATAATTATTTTGTCTATTGTCTCCAATCTCCATTCATGACCAATCCATTTGTGATGCTGTACTGTATCTCCAGGTGTTGTCATTTATCACTGTCTCTTCCTCCAAACAAATCCAACAATTGCATTTCCATTAAGTTATGTTTGCAACCACTGTACCCACAATATAGTAATCAAGCATATTTTGGTAAATTTACATAAGTGCACCCCCACTCTCTGAGAAAGTCAAAAATATATTTTTCTAGTGTAGTGGCTGGGTTTTTTTATCGATTTTTTTCCTTGGGACGTTTTCCGAAAAAAAATAATGGCTAAGCGAATACAAAATACACCAAAAAACACTAGAAAAACATAAACCTAACCTAACTGACTCTCACCATATGATGCAATCACCTATTTCTTACCTTATTGCCGTCTCTTCTTTGTCTTTGGGATAAGGGATGAGTTAGGACAACGGCACGTATGTTGGTTTTTGCGATATTTACATTGTCTTGTACTTAGGACACTTTACTGAGGTTGGAAGAACACCATGCGATCGAAAAAATGCTAGAGTTTCTTCGTTTTTTTCCCCAAAACTCGCAATCAGCTCCATATAATTTAAGTGACATCCATCACAGACTTCCATGGTCGGAAGTTAATATGAATTTGGAAATATGAGAGACCCAAAATAAAAATCGATTTTGATTGGGCCAAAAATACAGTGAATTAAAAAAAAATCATTTTAATTGGTTGCAAAAAAAAAAGCTTTTGATTGGCTGCGTGATGTGTACGGGAATGCATGCGCGTGATGATTTATGAAGGAGACACACAGTGTGGGAGGTGAGGTAGGCGATAATGGCGAAAGATTAATGGAAGAAAATGGAGAAAATTTTGGTTACGTATTATACATTTGCGACGGTAATGTAATAGATGAAAATTATCTTATAATTAGACGTCTTATTCGAATATGATAATAGATTAGTGGTAGGAATGTGGGGTGTGAAAATGCAAATATAATCATATTTTTACTTGAATGTTTATTTTTGCGATATAATTCTTTGGCAGACCATTGTTTGAATGGAAGTCAGTACTGTAATTATTTACTAAGTACCTACCGATGCGTTTTTATATTAAATTATTTTAAAAGCGCCACAATTTCACTGTGTATTGTAGTGGACACACGTAGTCTGGGCAAATGTGTTAAAAAGTTATTTCTAAATTAAGCCGAACCTAACTTAGTTGATAAGAAAAACAAGTGGCAGAAGCAGTGTTAGAAGGCCTCCCTATCCTAACCAAAGAAACCCACCTAACCTTACCTAACTTCTTAGCTAGGGGGTTATGTCCCCCAGACCCCTCAGCATATTAAACAGGAAGAACTTAATATGATATGGTCTAATTTAAATTTTTTGTGGCTGTGAGAGCAGCCACCCAGACCAAGTGGCTCAGAAACGTAGATTGAGTGTAGGCGTCAATCGGGGCGCCAGCAGAGCACAGTGGAATGTTTTGGAATCCTGTGCATCAATATGATGGCAGTTTACATCCGGGATGCGTCATCACCTCCGAAAAAGACAAAGTAGCGTGCGTCTAGGTGCCTAAATATCTACCAAACGAAGCATTTGCCCAAGAAATGAATATCAAATCAGAACTCAATGATGAAATATATTAAGAAAAGGAACATGAAAACAAATATAACGCGGCGTCAGCGGGTGTCTCGTCAATAATAATCTGTAAATCTTAGACAGTACATGATATTTTTATTAGCCTTACACCAAAGTCAGTTGTTTTATACTGGTAATCTGTGGAACTAAAAAAAATATTAATTTTTCCAGTCTCCAATGTTCGATGGGAAGGTGCCCCATTGGTATCATCAAATGTGCTTTTTTGGGAAACAACGGCCCCGAACTGTTGCTGATGTTGCTCATTATGATTCTCTGAGATGGGAAGATCAAGAGAAGATTAAGGCAAAAATTGGTATGTAATATTAATTATGTTAGAATTTAATGGGATAATATATTAGGATATGAATAGTTGATGTGATTTTGTGAAGGGAAAATATTAAAGTTTGATTTGTTAAGCCTGTGTTTGTGTGTACTGTATTGATTATATTACTAAATGATGGAAATGTGAACTGCATGTGAACTTAAAGTCATTAGTTTTCTTTTTCCTTTGCATGGCTACTTGTTTCTTGCCATCATTTTGATAAAGAGAAATATAGACATTTTGGACTTTTGTCTGTCTGTTTGAACATGAGAGATTACATATATGTTGCTTTTACACATCCACTCTTGTGTGAGGTGACTCGAGGGTTACAGAAACCTCAAAAGAAATATAACTGGGGAGAATGATGCATGACAAGTGTTGAAGTTGACATTAAAGGGCTAGATTGACAAGTAAAAATATCCACACATTTCAAGTATATTCACATTACTTTTTAACAAAAGTTCACCATGCATGCTGATTCAGATCATAAGAGATGAACTTCTAATTTTAACCCGGACAGAAAGTGCTAGTAGTCTTCCTGCTGCTGGCTCAAGCAGTAGTAGTAAAGGAGGCAAGAAAGGGAAGAAGGGGGCAGCCCAGGGCGGCATGCAAGATTTTCTTACTGAATATGCTAAGAGTGGTCGTGCTAAGTGTAGAGGATGTGAGAACAAGATTCTAAAGGTAAGGCAATTTAAAAATACTGTACTTTACTGTATAGGTAATTCAGAACAGAGGTAGGGATAAAATATGAAATTGAAACCCAATACAGACTGTGTGGCTTTGAATTAGCAGATACAGTATAAAATTATAATGGCTTTTGCTCCGGAAGCAAAACATTATACACATACTGTACTGTATAAGTAGCAAGGGAGGAATAGCTAAGAGAGTCATTTATTCTGAGAATATTGTCAAGTAACTTAACTCAATGCTTTGAATTTTTACAGGATGAAGTTAGAATTAGTAAAAAAGAATATGAAAGTGATCATGCAAAAAGATATGGTCCGGCGGACCAGTGGCATCACGTTGATTGCTTTGTAAAAAAGCGTGCAGAACTAGAGTTTTTTGAAAGTGCTGAAGTGCTTCCTGGATACAACACACTTTCTGCAGATGATAAGAAGATGTTAAAGAGTAAACTGAAGAAAATTGAAATGTAAGCTGTAATTATGTTTTTTGGTTAGTGTGAATATACAATCATTATAGAAAAGTCATCAAGTTTTAAGATTGAAAAGCTATACAGGTAGTTTATCCTTAACATTGCACTGAAGGAAACTCCAAAGATGGGTAAGTTTTTTTTTAAACAACTTAATTATACAAGAAGAATTTGAAGGTTTTTAGAAAGTTTAAAGATTATTTGGTTTTATGGGTTCTTCATACTGTGATAACATGCATTGCAATAGGTAACCAAGTTCACCGGGATTTGTATTTTTTTTATACAGTATAGTTAGACACCTTGTTATAAAAATCATAATGTATACAGTATACTGTATATGCATCAGGATTTTCAGTAGCTTAACTCCTTCACTGTGGCTGTATAGTTACTGGACTAACCCTTGTGAGTGGCAGGTTTTTTTAAATTAAGAATAAATTTATCATAACTAAATAAATTGTTTATCATATCTAAAACACTATAGATAGGTACAGTACTCATGGTCAAGAATATGTTGGTCTCATCAGGATGCAGGTACCCTCCTGGTAGGTGTGTTCCATTCTGGTGCAGGGCATAGCTCAGACCATGATACAAGATGTATGGTGGAAATGTGTTTCTTCACTTCTGTGTACATAAATTATGTTTTTGGTAAAGATGGAGGAGACAGGTATCACCAGAAATAACTTATGGAATGACACCAAAATTTCTGGAGATGTTATTTGCATGATACTAGATAAGAAAATGGGAATGACAATGCACAGAGCCTGACCAAACCTGACTTCCTAACCAGGAGGCTACATCCCTGCTAGACCTCTGTAACAGCAAAAGAAACATACAGTACCTGTATATGAAGGTGGGTTGAGTACAGCCATGGCGTGCGACTGTTAGACCTAAACATATATTTTTTCTGTTAATGTGCCTTCTTTGCCAGTGCATTTTGTACACTTGCACAGCCTTCCAAAAAGTACATGATTACATATTAAGTCTTTTAACACGATTTTGATCCTCAAGAAGAACAGATAGCTTATGATAACTTAGGGATTTACCGGTAGACAAGGCTAGAATTGCTTGTTCATTTTAAAATTTTCCTTTTAATTTCATAAAACATTTTTTCAGAAGAATTGGTATACAGATAATAATAAATACTGTTCTTGACATCATTAAACAATGTTAAAATTGATGTGGAATATAAATTTTACCTTTTCGTGCATATTAAGATTAGTCCTATTAGGATTTACCATTTGTTGTACTTTTGATTTCAGAAAACGTAAGGCCGAGGATGAGCCTGATACTGCCTCCAAAAAAATTAAAACTGAAGATGAGGAAGCAGTACGCAAGCAGAACAAAAAAATGTACGCACACCGCGATGAGTTATCCAAAATCCTCCACAAAAAGGAACTTTCCTATATTTTGGAATGCAATGATCAGTACATTCCTTCTGGAGATAGTAGAGTAAGTTTCCTTTTGATTGGTTTACATTTATAATTACCCCTCAGCTCAGACTTAATCTGACAGGTATTGTCATCCATTCCCACATCTTTCCATTTGTCCATTTGCTTGTACTAATTAAGATAGAGTATCTCATTATAGATTTGATGCAGCATGAAAATTTATACCATAGCTTTATCTAATCAACCTTTTGTGCGAGTTTTAAGATTAGTCCTCAACCAACTTTTCAAGAGTATGTAACCAGTTGGCCAAATATGCTGAGGGGTATTTTATTGCTTTGCAGTGCTCTTGTTCTAGCATTGTATATGTGAGTTTATTAATTCAATAGTTAGTGTTTGAATTTAAAATTTTCAAGTCTTCTTATTATGTCTAGCTACTTTTATTTCAAATGGTCTGTATGTGGATAACTTTTTTTTCAAGTACATATCAACTGACAGACAATATCCTGTACACCAATTGTTAATTTCTTTTACATTTTGAAATTATAATTGTTTCTTAGTTTTACAATATATATGTATTTTCTTTTTCAGATGCTTGATGTTATTGTTGATATCATGACTTTTGGAGCGATGGAAAAATGTGGAGTTTGTAAAACTGGAAATTTTATTTATGAGTAAGTACTCTTTTGGTGTGTGTAAGATTTGTGGTACCATCTGTATTCAGTCACATAATATGGGACTGTCTTTTTCACTCTGTTTATTCCAGTGTTGTATATAGCTTCTTTTTTTTTTGCTTCAGTTATACATTCAACTTATCCCCTTAAATATCGTGAACTATATACTTTGTGAAGATTTTTTAATTTTGATGTAAATGAATAAGTGTAGTCTGAAGAAATGGTTGAGGATGTGGTAGATTTCTTTCTTTCTTTCTTACCTTGATGACTAGAACCAAGAGCAAATGCCCATATTCATTTTTACTGCTGTAATTGATGTGTTCTGTTTTGGTACTCACCCTCCACAGCAAGACCCCTAAAATCCATCTACTGTAGGTTATCATTCGCTCAACACCACCCATTACCATCGGTATCAAGCCCTTCCGAAAAATGGGTCTCGATGCTCTGCTGTCCATTCTTCCGCGTATATAGCTACTTCCTGTCTAGCCATCCCGTCACTTGTAGTGTGTTCTTCATCCCATCCTTCCATGTTTACTTGGTCTTATCCCTTCTCTCTCTTTTTTCACCTTTTTCTCTTCTTTTTCTTTTCTCTCTCTGAATTAAAAATACTCCACACCCTCCCCTTCTTCAGTCGTCTCACCAACGATGACACAGCTGAACAAGCCACACACACACACACACACACAGCGAACCCTGATATGTTCTCACTTCCATATTTGGTCCTTATTTCTATGTATTATATATCCTATTCACTCAATTTATTACTCTCGGGTGCAACATTTCTCTTACTTTGAATTTTCTCCATCCTCTTGCTTCCAGAGCCCATACTTTACATATGTATACTAATGTTTGAGGTGCTTAGTGTCCCGGTTGCCATCAGACAAAGTTAAAGCAAGTTTTACAGTTGAATGCCCTTCTTATTGCTCAATGGGAAGGAATTTGTGGTTTGAAGAGACAAGTAAAACTTCTTAGTTTTAACTTTTAAAACGGTGTATAAATTGAAAAAATGGCATTAAAGCCATTGTTACTAGAGTACATGTTTAATTATTAAAAAAAATGCATTTTTTGTAAATTATTAGGGATGGGGTCCATTGGTACTTGAAATATACATGTGAAAGGGTTAGATGTTAGAGCCTCTTCCTTTGATGTTAATGAATTGCTTCCCATTTAAGAAGTTTTTTATTATATCTACTAAGCAACTCAATTATTTCCAGGTATGGCAAGGGCTATGTATGTCATGGTAACCTTACAGAGTGGACAAAATGTACAAATGTTATCGAAGAACCTAAACGGCGGGTATTCCAAGTGCCCGAGGAGCTGAAGAAATTTCCATACTTGTAAGTATTGAAATATAATAGTAATAATTTTTCTAAGTGATAAGTTCCCTTATTTAACCATTAAAGCCTGGGTGATGTTCCTCTACATTCGCTGAAGCGACCCCTGGTGACGTTCCTCAACGTTCTTAATTTTCATGGCATATTTTGAATGTCCAAGTGGGATGAATTACTTTGTATTGGATATTTGTTTAATTGACAACTCGACTAATGGTTAATCTTTGTCTCAAGACTCATGCCTTTTGGTCAGTTACCTGCCAACTATCATGATGGATGCACGTCCTTTTACCTCTGTTCAGTAATTTATAGCTGCCATATTTATTGCTATGATAACAATAAAATCTATGCATAGCATATCATTAAATAAAATAGCACATATTTTATGTGCTACCCACACTCAAACCATCCTCTGACCGACGGACACAGTTCAGGCAGTCAACCAGCTGACTCAGACATGTGGCTGCTGCGTTAGTGTGTATGCCGTGACATTACGTCGGGAGGGATCGCAGCCATGCAGTTATAGCTCAGTAACCCACTGCCTTAACACACTCACTTCCCACATATGCTCTTCAGTTTTCTTATTTTATAGTTTTATATTACATTTTCTATATTTCAAAGCCACACTAGAGTATTGTAATAAGTTTTCCACAACTTTTATAGTTTTATTCCAAATAACAATATACGAGGCTGGTCTAGTTGACCACATAGTTATAGCCAAGGCCTTGGCTATAACTGCCTCCATAGATATTCACCCATGCTCTTCATTTTCTTGTTATATATTATATTTTATATATTTTTAAGCCACATTAGTGTTAAATAAAAAAAATCAACAACTTTTATAGTTTCAATACAAGTAACAATAAATGCAGCATCCTAGCTGATGAGTTAGCCAACAGTTATAGCCCACATATACACACATTCACTTCTCACACACACACGTCCATGCTTTTCATTTGTCTTATTTTATAGTTTTATATCTATATTTATATTATATATTTATGTCTTACGTCGCACGGGCTTTAAGCGTTAATTTTCATTACAGTGATACAGGTATCCCTTGTTTAACAATGGGGTTGTGTTCCTGAAAAACTTTAATTTAAACAAAATAATCACTAAATGATGAATAACAGCAAAGCATGGAGGCCAAATAACAGGTTAAAAGGGCATGGTGGTAAACACTTTGTACTCCCTAGTAATAATAATAAACAACTTGGTTATAAATGATTTCAAACTTAAACAATTGTTTTAATAATTCTAAACTTTCATATAAACAATGTAGTTAAAGTGATTTAGTAAGCAAAAGGTGAGTAATTTAAACAAATTTCAAATTGCATATGTTAAAAATGAAAAAACAAATTGCTATGATAAACAATAAAATTGATACATAACATATCGTAAAATACAATCACACATTTTATGTACAAAATATAGCTCCTTCCACACCCAAACCATCATCTGGGCGATGTGACAGTTCAGCTTGGCATTCACCCAGCTGATTCCGAGGTAAGTGTGTGCGTGCTCGCGCTGTGACATCACATTGAGGGAAGGAGCACGGTTGGGTAGTGAGTCAGCAACGCAGTTACAGCCCACCTCCTTCACGTATAGACACCCATGCTCTTTATTTTTCTTATTTTATAATTTCATATTATATTTTCTTTATTTCTAAGCCACATTAGAGCATTGTAATATTCATTTCACATATTTTCTAGTATTTGATATGAAGATGTGTTAAATGGATCTTAGTGGAGGGAGCCACCCACGCTAACCCCCCCCCCACCTGCTGCTCCCAAGTTACTCTCATCTCCCACACACAATATACCCCTACCCTCTTTTTTTATCTTTAGAGTACTGTACTGTATAGTTTTTTATTTATGTCTGATTTTCAACCCAGGGAGCTGTGTTTCAAATTTTTTGTTGTTGATGTAAAGGTGTTTTAATAACTTTATGTACTTAATGACCCGTAAGTTTTTCTTCTCGACACATTTATCTTCAGCTATATTGACTGGATTTAAGTGATATTTGATACATTTACACTGCATTAGTCAAGTTTTGGGCCTCAGCATACTGTAATGTTGTATAATATCTTCTTGAATATAGCATTTTTTCAGTTATAAACTTCCCCTTTTTTTATTGTTTTAGAATTTAAGGTTATAGGAACATATCTTATTTTCCCTAGATTGTAGTTCTTTCCTTCTTTTTCAGTCAAAAGTACAAGTTTAAGGGTATTGGAAAGAGGATCTGGATTGATCATGGCCCAACCAGTGCTGAGGTTGCTGAAAAAAAAGAAAATGGGTAAGTACAATTTAATATTTTAGTACATTGCAAACAGGAATGTGGAATTGCCAGTGATTTAGCTTTTTAGGGAGCAGCTTTTGCGAGCATGCAAATACAGTATTTGCAGAACTACACTAATTTGCTGGCATTTTACTTGCCCTTCTATTCTTATTAATTTTATCATTGTGGTAATTTTCCTGATGAATGATGTGTAATTTCAGGAATGCTTCGCCAGAAGCAAAACTACCACTAAAAGATATGAAGTTTGTAATTGTTGGTAGTAAGTTTTCCAAAGATAAGAAAGAAATAAAGAATAAAATTAAATCCTTGGGAGGAGAAGTGACTTCAAAAGTAGAAAAAACTACAGCAGCTGTTATAACTACTCCAGGTCAGTGTTGCCACTTCTGTGTATGACTAAATGCCTTCAAATTACAGTATATGTTTATGTCCTAATAATTTGAGCAGATGACTCTGTAATACTCTACTACCCTGATAATTTTATGGGGTCAGTGCCCAAGACAGTGCCTGGTAGGTATTAATCTTTTGCTTAGTTTTACCTCCTTGTTCCAACTATATCCCTCTGAATGGTGCCCAAAAATGTCAGATTATTCCAAATGGATGTCTCTTATTGAAACCCATGAAAGTATTTTACTGGTAAACCTTAAATTTTTTTACCAAATATGATCAGGCGTCCATAGGTCTTGGTTGCGTTCTTGTAAACAGCGATGTTATGTGAAACTACGTTAAGAGAAATTTCGAGGCCACCAGTGTGTGTGTGGCTTATAAGTGGCGTGGACTGAGCCTTTGTCAACTAAGATTCCGTAAATGATGTGGATTTCGTGTATACATTTTCTTTTTTTCATATGGGAATGTCTTTGTTTGCTATTATATTTTTTGTTCATATATAATACAGTATACAGGTACAGTAGCTAGGACTTTTTGTTTATGGGTACAGTATACAGTATAAATAGTTTTGTGTATCTACATTATAATAAAATTTACGTGGTCACATTCCCCAAATCCTATTATTCTTATAAGAGAATAATTCCTCCATTGAGGATTCACCTAGCATGCTGTTTTCAAGTAACCTAACCCCCTTGATGGAGGGGGGCTTACTGTATATGCATACATATTCTATTTCCAAGATCGTAAAAATTTTATGACTATACAGTTATTATACTGTTGCATGGTTTCTTCTGGATCATATGATGTATGCACATTCTCATAATACTTTGATTGTTTTGTACTGAAATAAAAGTTATAGTAATTTTTTAACAAATAAATATTGTTATCCTTAGACTGTATTGGAGGAACAGACAAGAAGATTGATGCTGCAAAGACACTAAATGTGCATTGTGTGAGTGAAGATTTCCTGGATGAAGTAGAGACAGGAGATGCTTTGCTTATGATCGAAAAGAAGAGCATCGCTTCGTGGGGTGGTAATGTATGTGTTCTATATGAGAGTTTCAGTTTAAACAGTAGTTACACAAATTCACCATTATGTGTGTGTGTTATGGGTGTTTTGTGATGTGTTCAGGTGTATATAGTCTATCTCAACATAATAGTCATTGAACTACAAACATGCAGTGCTAGAAACCCCCATAAAAAAAAATTTGCATTATTACAGTTGTACAGTATCTGTTGTACACTCACTCAGTCAAGATGCCTTCCTTTGTGTCTAATTGTTGTCAACCATGACTACCCACTCCCAGATGTTTTCAGATTATCTTTACCATTCCTCCCATATTTTGCCGCTCTTATTTATCCATCTCAGGTTTCTGCCTTCCTCTAGCCCTCCTGCCTTGAATTTTATCCATTGATATTTCTGCCTTTATTATATCCTCTCCTCCCAAATTATATGGTCATTCTTATATTTGTTTTTACCGATTTTCCGTATTTCTCTCTCTGCACTAACCAATCTTTGCATTTCATTTGTATATCTGTAATTTTTAAGGCTCTTTAACATACTTTTTAGCACCACATTTCAAAGGCTTCTGGCCTCCTTGTGGTGTTGGCTTAAAACGCCCACACCTCCTACCCATACAATAGTGCTGGCCATATGGTATACTGTACAGTACTGAATTTCACTGACCTGTTGTTTCAGTTAATATTAATGATCTTTTTGACACTGTCCATTATATTTCTTATTCTAGCAAGTTTCAGGAAGCACAAACTGACCCTTCAGCTACCAATGTGTAGTGTATACAGTAGATTTATGTTATGAGCTTGTTTTGAAAAGAGTAAGTTTTTGCTAAAATGTGTTTGGAGGAAATATTAATGTGTTTAACAATTTAACACTTGCATAAGCTCAGTGCATTGTTTGTCTTCATACTAAAGACATTGTAAGCTCTGCTGTGTCTAACAAGGGTGAGCAAAGCAGCTTGAAGCAGCCAATCACAACCTCACTTGACATGGCTAAGTGATGAGGGGGACACTACGTGGACAGCATGTGTACACGGTACTGGAAAATGAGAGATATTTCCTGAAAAATATAAAAATACATTCTCAGTTCTGGTTGTTTGAAATTTTTGGTATCCAGATTCCGCTTTTTGAGATATTACTTAAGTCCCCTTATGAAATTTTGTTAAAATGTTCTAGATAAGCCCTGGAATAGGATTACATTAGATCAGTCACTCATAATGTGTGACTAATAAGAGTAACTAGAACACTGAAAATATCATAGTCACCTTATGCTTACCTGGTAAAACAATGCTTTTAGTACTTGTTGATTAGCACCTTTAAGGTTTAGTTTTCTTATTTTATAATCATAAATGTTCACTTTTCAGCCTCAAGAGAGGATTCGCATTATCAAGTCCTCTACAAAGTCAAAATCTGGTAAGTAATTATCCTACAGGGAAGATATTGTTTTCAGTTATGTTTGTCTGTGTCCCCAAAATAACTTAAGGGTGGGTTTGTGGGTTTGCATCAGACTTGGCAGGATTGATCATCATGTGACAAGGTCCTCATGATAAACTATTTTATGCAGAAAGCAAATTGTGCCCAAATTACCCAATTGTGGCAATGGTATAGGAGTTTTGGGAGTTAAAGAGGATGACATGAGACGGTCACTGGTTCAATGTTTACCCTGCCATGATAATGGTTCAGGGGCAAGGTCTGTATCCTCTCGCATAATTCTTTAAATTTTTATGTGATCTTTATCTTAAGTTTCTTAAAAGATAATTTGGTTTGCATTTAGTTAATTTGTATATGATAATTTTATGTTAATTTCAACATGTTACCACTGAGATAGTACCCCCTGACAAAGCCATAATATGTACTGTATGCAGGCTCAGGTTTTGGGGTTTTAATATGAAATTCTTCCAGGGTACTTGGAGTGACAATGACAAATGTAGGTTTGGTTATACAGTGGAGGGCCTTTTAAATATTCTTGAGTTTTGCTTCCCCCAAAAAGGGCAGCACAATAATTTCTGTAGAAAACTGTTAGCCAATGTTATGTGCAGGATCTTTAAGTAAATCTTACATATGGTATTAAGAATTCACATATTTTTTAATCAGTCATCAAGATCAAAACAAACAACTTCGATTATTGCAAGGTGGTAGTTTCTCTTACCTAAGTTACTTTCAGTAGTTGTGAAATATCAAACTGGTACACAGTGGCATAGTGACTAAAGCTGGTAGTGGTGAAACATGTGTCAGTCTCAATGTTTCAGTGGTTCTTGCGTGGCATTTCAAGATGTTTGATCTTCACTGGCATCTCTCACTAACCATTTAATTTGTTTTACATTCGTGCACTGCTGTCAAAGATGAACAAACATTCCATCTCCCAGTATGTAGTTTATAGATTTATGTTATCATTAGGTTAGTTTTGAATATAATGATTCATAAAACACATTGATAGTTTGCCATCATTCTGTAAATATGTACATTAAGGAAGTTATTGTATAATACATCATATAAGACACATTTTCTTTTCTGAAAAATGTAGTCTCCTTCAGGCTAATGAATCCCCCAGTTGATGTAGGCTAAATTTTACCTCTCCCAGCTCCAGAATTACAATTATGGTATTGCTTACTTAAACAGATTAGTAATACTTTTAATTAATTAAAAAGGTAATTTTTGAAAATATAAAAGCTGAATTTATAACTACTGGTGATAACCTGAGATTGTGAGTGTCCATTTGGCAGGCACCCAACTCTTCAGAGCTAAGCAGTAACTTATTTCTGAACTCTTACAAGCAACATTTATCTTTAAATCTACAAGTACCTGATATAATTGAGGATTTCCAGATGATTTTCTTTTCACATTTTCATCTATGAACATCGCTGGTGGTCCACTTATAACTATTTTATTCCTATTTTATTCATCCCCAAAGTTTATTAATTGGAAAACACTGCCTATGGTTCTAAAAGGAAAAGAGTTATAGTATTGTACTGTTTAGTGAAATTAATATACCGTATATACCCTTGTGTAGCACGAGTTCTTAAGACCAAATTTTTTGGCAAAAAGTTGGGGGTCGACCTCCATACGGGTAATAGTTTCGTTAGGTTGAAAAATATTTACCAGTAACTACCAGTAAACAATGGAAACGACGCACCAACGCACCACCCGCTGTGAGTGTCGGTACAGTTGTCAGGGCAGATCTCTTGCGTCATCATAGCAAACCCAAAGTAGCCAAATGCATGGTATGGTATGCACAGGAGTATGTAAAACATAAAGTATTCATTTTTAAAAGTTTATTTATAGATATATAAATTTTTGTTAATTAAATTTGAAACATCAATCTTTGTTAATTAAATTTGAAACAAAAGAAAAATACGATACCTTGTTTATAAATATTTTCATTAAAATATTACATCACAAGTATATTTTACCTTAACTGTGCCTGAATGAATATATTCTCAGAAATAAATATGGAAATGTAATATTTTTGCTGAAATGACGTACGTATTACAGTGGAAAGTGGGATAAAATTGTGACGAAAACAATGACTTTCACTTTCTTTCGTCGTTCAAAAGATTTTACCGTAATCGCTTTTCGAATGGTTTTCAGTTAAAAAACTGTTGTATTACAATAATAGTCTATCCTAATTGACCTGAATAAATACTACGATACCATATTTCTGAATATTTTCATTAAAATCCATCAAAATCATTTTCCTTGTCATCAGCACCAAACAGCTACTCCCAGTCCTCTCCTTGAACAGCATCGTCATATGGATCAACACCATCATCAGCCATAGGATCATCAATATCTTCATCCTCAATCACGCTCTCATTAGCCTCATAATCCCACAACAAGTCATCTTCTGTTCCATCAAGAGCATTCGAAATCCCACATTTCTTAAAAGATTTCACCACAATTTCTGGTCTGATTGCATCCCAGGCCTCTACAATCCATTCACATAATGTTGCTAGTGATGGAGCTTGGATGTTGCCTCCCTTTGTGTATGTCTTATCGCCTTCTATCATCCAGTTGTTCCACTTCACTCTTACCGCATCTTTAAATGGTTTGTTTATGGAAACATCCAGTGGTTGGACAAGACTTGTTAATCCACCAGGAATCACAGCTGTATCAGTGTTTTCCTTCCTAATCCCAGCAGTAACACTGTCAACAAGATGTGACCGAAACATATCCCACACAAAAAGACTTTTTTCTTTGCGCAGTCCCCCTGGTCTAAAGTTCCAGACTTTTTTAAGCCATATTTGTATGCTGCCTTCATCCATCCATCCTTTCTCGTGCACATGGATGATTAAAAAAATGCTGTCTGACTTGCAACACTGTTGGTAGGGTCAGGTGGTTCTAACGGCACCTGCCAGGACCCGGTAATCAAATTTATAACAGTGTCTAACCTCAATTACTGTAGTTTATCTGATGTAGGCAATATGAAGTAAAAAATACCAGTTAAAGTGAGAAATTGGAAGAGAATAAACAAGAAAGATGTCGTTGGGCTATTTTTGGTAGGGCTGAGGGAGAGAGTACCAGCTGTTTGGTCTTTTTTGGCGGGAGAGTCACGCAAATAACCGTAGTACTGGTATTTGTTTGGTGTCTTCTGTATTTTTGAAAATGAATACTTGTAAATTAAAAGTACCGTAACATTGTATTATATACAAACTTGTCATATTTCTGGAAAATAAGAAGCAAGAAAATAAGAATACAGTATACCGGTAAACATGATTTCAATGTACGCTAAAATTAAAAGCTGCTTAAGAAGGGCTGATGCAAACACAAAGCCTCCGCGACCAGGGTTCTGCCGTATCAGCTAGACGGTACACGTGTTTTTCGAATCGTTTTCAGTTAAAAAACTGTTACATCACATGTGAATTAGGATAGAATATTATTGTAATACAACAGTTTTTACTGAAAACCATTCGAAAAGCGATTACGGTAACATCTTTTCAACGAAAGAAAGCGAAAGTCATTGTTTTTGTCACGATTTTATCCCACTTTCCACTATAATATACGTACGTCATTTCAGCAAAAATATTACATTTCCATATTCTCAGAAATAAATAGTAGTTTTGCTGAAACGTGATGTATTTCAATGTAAATTAGGATAAACTACATGACGAAAACAAAAGACTTTACCAAACCTTCCGATGTTCAAGATATGTTACTCGTTTTTTTAATAGTTTTCTGTTAAAATACTGTTATATTAGTGATATTCTATTCATACTGTGGTTGATATAATACATTCACGAAAATGTAATATTTTTTGCTGAAATGATGTACGTATTACAGTGGAAAGTAGGATAAAATTGTGACGAAAACAATGACTTTTGCTTTCTTTCGTTCAAAATGTTACCGTAATCGCTTTTCGAATGGTTTTCAGTTAAAAACTATTGTATTACAATAATATTCCCTCCTAATTGACTTGAATAAATACTTGAATGGAAATATACAATATTTTTGTTGAAACTACCCGCGTTTCAGTGTAAAGTGTCGTAATAATAAATGGTAAACAAGTTTATAGGACGTAGTGTTTTTCTGAAGGTTTTGTTTTTCCTTTACCCTCAAAAACTTGGGTCGACCTATAAACGAGGATATCATAAATTAACGATTTCTTGGTCAAAAAATCGGGGTCGACCTATATATGAAGGGGGGTTATAGACGAGTATATACGGTACTTTTTTCCTCCAGGTATACAGTGCATATTTATGAATAATAAATTTTAAGAAGCTGAAAAGGTGCAGGAGGAGATGGGAGCTGTGACCTATAATAATTATTATTATTAGGACTGTAGTTGATTTAATTACTGTACAGGATACTTAAATGTACTGTAATTTATTTCTTGTAGAGTCACGCTTCACTAAGAACATACCAGAAAAACAGAAGATAAAGCTGAAGGGTGGTGCCGCTGTTGATCCTGACTCAGGGCTGGAGAGTACTGTTCATGTCTACCAGGTATGATTTAAATACTACAAGTATGTTTTCTGAATGTTTTCACTTGTAAGGTATATATGCCTCAATATGAATGGTTTTTAATTATCTGACTTAATTATAGTAAGTTTGTCATTAATTATGTAGAAAAATAAAGGATTTAAATATATAAATAGAATATATAGGCATCATGTACTCCAGAACATGCTAATCAGGGATCTGTTGTCTGCAATTTGATATCTGTATAATTGACGTCTCAATAATTTTAATTGCATTTCTAATATTAATTTCTTTTCAAACACTAAATACTCGCTGCCTGTGGTTTTCAAGGTCAATATATATCCTTCATGAACATGCTGATTAAGAATCTTTTGTCTGTAATCGGATATTTGTATAATAACTTGACCAAAAAACATCTCAATAATTTTAATTCTTTTTTCCATCCCTTTCAAGATTTCTAATGTTTCAGTTAGATCTGCTATATTGTGCCTTGTCTGAAGGGTTGTTAGTCCTAAGGCTGTCAGTCTACTTTGATAATTGAGATGACATAGTTCTGGAATCATCTTGGTTGCTCTCTGTTGCACCTTTGCTAAAGAATATTAGGTCTTTCTGTTTGAATTCATAAGATGAAAAATGGATTTCTACTGCTTGTGGAAGATATTCACAAATTGCAGGTTTGTGAAATGAGTAGGAATTAATGTTCAATTTTTATATTCCTGAATATAAACAGGACTTGGCAAAAGGTACTCAGTACTCAACAATAAAAGTATATAGGAATCATTGGATGCTTCCTTGTTGGATTATATGGTTAGTTTTTAAAGGTGTATGCTTGAGTATTTTTATATTTTTTCTTAGATGATTTATTCCAGATTTTGAACTAGGACATTTTATAGCCAGTTTGTTAGGCAGGATGAAGCAGTGTAGAACAATGAGATTTGGTAGGTTTCTTTGCATGTATCCCAGATGAGATTTGTATTGTTTTGCAGTTTCCTTTACGGAATGATAACAATAAGATTTTTACCTATTTAGAAAGTAATATTTACATGTTATAATACTTTTACAGCGTGGGGGCAAATTATACAATTGTGTCCTTGGCATGGTTGACATTATGAGAGGAACAAACTCGTACTACAAACTACAGGTCCTTGAAAGTGATGATAAAAAGAGGTTTGTGACTTTGCTTGTTCTTTATTGAAAGGCTAAAGGAAGTGAAATTTTTATTGCTAGAGTTTATTTATAATCCCGTGGGTGGCTGGACACATTATAGCTTGGTCTTGTCTGTCCATCCATCCATGCACAGGTACTATTTATTTATTAATATTCCTCAAGAAATTATAGAATTTCATAGAAGATATCAAAATAAATTTTGAATTAATTTGTGATTTGTAATCAGATTTAGATTGCTGTATTTATTAGCTCATTGTGCATAGCTTGACAGCATTTGGGATCTTCACTCAAAATCACTTTTGTTTGCTATTCTTACTAAGTAGTATAGTCATAATTCTAGTGATTATATATATATATATATATATATATATATATATATATATATATATATATATATATATATATATATATATATATATATATATATATATATATATATATATATATATATATATATATATATATATATATATATATATATATATATATATATATATATATATATATATGTGTGTGTGTGTGTGTACACACACGCACAGTGATATCCCTGTTAGCCGGAACAGCTGGTGCAGAGCACTTCCGGGAATGAAAGATTTCCAGGTAACGAGACGACTCTCTCAAAACCAGAAAAGATCCCTCCTGCCCGGAATTTTCTGGGTAACGGAAAAATGTTCTCAGAAGTTCCAGAAATTGCCCATTACAGCATCTCTCAAACCCAGAAAAATAGCCCTTATCCCTGGAATTTTCTGGGTAACGGAAAATTTTTCTCGGAATTTCCAGAAAATGCACCCTATTTTCATTTCTCAAACCCGGAAAAAACTCCCCCCATCCCCAAAATTTTTCTGGTCTCGGGAAATTTTCTCAGACTTTTCCGGAAAATGTGCCCCTTGGAAAATCGTTCCCAAAGCCGGAATTTTCTGGAAAATTCGAGCTTGGGGAACAATTTTCTGAGAAAATTTCAATTCCGGCTATCAGGAAGTTCCGGGTTTGAGGGATTCCGGCTCTAACCACAGTGGTGAGAGCCTAGAATGATCTCCCACCAATTGCAGAAGTATTCTAGGCTCTAACCACTGTGGTTGGTGTCAGTTACTATATTTTGTTTCTTACCCTACAAAGTTTTATGTAAAGTTTGCATGATATAATGTAATTCCATTTACTTTATTTTTGAAGATGGTGGCTGTTTCGTTCATGGGGCCGAATTGGTACAACGATTGGCAGCAATAAATTGATATCATTTGAGGACATTAATGATGCCCTCACACAATTTACAGCACTCTATGCAGAGAAAACTGGTAATTTCTTCTTTGAAAATGAATTCAAGAAAGTGTCTGGATGTTGGTATCCTTTGGATATTGACTATGGTCAGGTAAGTGTGTGTGTGTGTGTGTGTGTGTGTGTGTATATATATATATATATATATATATATATATATATATATATATATATATATATATATATATATATATATATATATATATATATATATATATATATATATATATATCCCGACTTACGATGGGGTTAGGGACCCAAATCCAGGTCGTAAGTCCGACATAGATAAAAAAAAATTAAAAATCTACAATGAAATACAGTACTCTAAACGTAAAAAATAATGAGGAATGGATACAGTGTGACTGAGCACTTACCTTAAATGTAGTCAGCTGAATGCACACAGGGCCCCCATAATTTTCTATTTACAGGATACATGGAGACTATATTAATTGGAAGAAGCAGAAGAGGAGACAGGGCTGGGTGGGTCATCAATGTCGCTTTCTTCAGACAGGTTTATGTACAGGGGTAACTTGCTGGTTGAAGGTATTGGATCATCTTGAGGGAGTGAAGAGGCAGCACTGGTGGGGCGTGAGGAGCCAGTACTGGGGGACTTCTTGAAATAGGTGTCCAATTTAGACTGCACAGTTTTCTTTTTCTTTTCATTATAAATTTCTCTGTAGCAAGCAAGTGAATCTTGGATCATTCTGTCAACTTTGGCATAACGCTCATAATTTTGATCCATGTCATCAAACATTTGCATTGCTTTATTAATTGTAGCAAATGCCTCTGCCATATGTTTCACTGAAAACTTTTTGGGGGTGCAGGCTCTTCTTCTACATTTTGTCTCTCTTCTTCCTCTGCAACTTTCTGTGCATCTAGTTCAATAAGATCCTCGTTACTGAGCTCTTCTGCTACACTTTCAACCAACTGTCCAACATCTTCAGTATCAATTTCTAACTCCAGCTGTTTACCTAAGTCCACTATCTTGTTACTAATATCCAAAATAACTTCACTTTCATTAAATCCTTTGAAACTGTTCACATATCTTTTCAGGATTTTCTTCCATATTCCATTCATGCAATGTTTTGTAACCTGATCCCATGCTGCACTAATGTTCTTTATACATGACAAAATGTTGTACTCCTTCCAAAACTGTCTGAGCGTTTTCTCACCTTCAGTAGCAGCAACAGCCTGAGCGAAGGTCGTGCGTAAATAATATGCTTTAAAGGCAGAAATAACACTTTGATCCATGGGTTGGATGATAGAGGTAGTGTTAGGTGGCATGTACACTACCTTAACATCAGGGTGCATGTCGTCCAGGTGTGGTGGGTGTCCCGGAGCATTATCCAAAATCAGTAAAATCTTGAATGGAATCCTTTGTTGCAGACAATACTCCTTGGCTCGTGGAATGAAACAAGTCATGAACCAATCCTCAAATAGTACTAGGGTCATCCAGGCTTTCTTGTTACTGCGATAAAACACTGGCAGTGTGTGCTTGCTGACATGTTTAAAAGCCCTGGGGTTCTCTGAATGATAGATCATGAAGGGCTTTAGCTTGAAACCAGCAACATTCCCCCCAACAGAAGTGTAATTCTGTCCTTGAATGCCTTGAATCCTGGCATTGTTTTCTCCTCTTTGTGGATGTATGTCCTCTCAGGCATGCGCTTCCACAATAATCCAGTCTCATCCACATTGAATATTTGCTCAGGCAAATAATTCCCTTCCACAATCACATCATCTAACTCCTCCTTAAAAGCTTCGGCAGCACCAACATCGGCACTAGCTGCCTCTCCACTCACCTTAACACTGTGTAGACTGTAGCGTTTTTTAAATCTATCAAACCACCCTTGACTTCCTGTAAAGGTTTGATCACATTCATCTCCTGCCTGCTCCTTCAGGCTTTGGAACAGGCTTCTTGCTTTAGCCTGTATGGTTAGAACACTTAAGGGTACACGCTTCTGCATCTGGTCTTCTATCCATATCACCAATAATTTTTCCATATCGTGGATAGGACCTTGTCTTTTCTTTGTTATTATAGTTCCCTTTATAGGTGTTGTTCCTTTCACTACTTCACGAATACGTTCCTTGTCCTTCAGAATAGTGGATATGGTCGAGTGTGAGAAACCTAGGTCGCGTGAGATTGTTGCTATTGTTTTTCCATTCTCATACTGTGTTATTATCTTCAGTTTCATCTCAAAAGTAATTGCCTGTCTCCTTTTCCTTGGAGTACCACCAGCACTCTCACTTTTACGCTTTCCAGTCATTATAAAGTCAATTAAATACAATAATAACGAAAGTTCACAGCGCGATCAGTATAGGATACGATAGCCAAACACAAACAAAGCGCTCCACTGAGTGAGTGCAGCCACGAGGCGTCCCAAGCCATCCCTCCCTCTCGCCCGGGACGGAAACGTTTCGGTATAGAAAATGCGCGCGTCATTTGAAAAAATTTTTGGTCACGGCGGTCGCAGTCGTATGTCCCGTATGGACGTACGGTCAAAGCAGGTCGTAAGTACCATTGGACGTAAGTCCGTATAGTCGTAAGTCGGGGTTTAGGTGTATATATATATATATATATATATATATATATATATATATATATATATATTATATATATATATATATATATATATATATATATATATATATATATATATATATATATATATATATATATTTATATTTATATTTATATTTATATTTATTTATTTTTATTTATTTATTTATTTATTTATTAGTGATGGGTGTCAAATCTGTATCCACGGAGCAACTACAAAAATTTCACTTCCGCATTCAATAGGTGCAGATGTTTCGGATGTATGGAGGTTGAGGTATTCATATTTCAGTGCAGTAGGTGTCTGACAAAGCTGACAGGGTAATTCCAAGGCTTGCAGGTAAACAGGGAAGAAATGTGAAAAAATACCAAATTCTTGGGTAATTTTACCTGCCATTGCAAAGCCTACAGTATTTCAGCCAAGGGCGGATTTTCCAACAGGCTTGTGAGGCTGAAGCTTCAGGCCCGTAATTTTTATAGGCCCGTGTCAAACAAGAATTCAACAATTATTTGAATTGAGATTTGATTTTATTCAGTGTGAACCAAAAGTCACTGCACCTTCCGTGGACGAAGAGTGTATTCAGAGTATGAAAGTTACTGAAACTGAAGTCACTGAACACAGACTCTACATATGCTGCTGCACTTGAAGAACCACCCAGTAAATGACAGAAAAACGATTCACAAGCCACTAGCAGTTGAACATCACTCGATGAAATACTGAATCTACTATTAGCTTCCAGTAGTGATGATGAAGTGGAACCGGATGCAAAAAAATCATTTATGGAGATGGTGAAGAGGTACCACAAAGAAAAGAGAGTAGCAGCAAGTGGTAACAGTTTAGAACGGTGGAAAGAAAAGTGTGCAGAATATCCCGCTTCAGGCAGACTTGCAAGGCAATTCCTTGCCTACCCTCCAAGCAGTACAGTAGACTTGCAACTTACGCGAGGGTTACGTTCCTGGGACCTCGCGTAAAGTCAGAAACACTCTTAAATCGCCCTTAAATCACTATATATATTTACGTACATATACACTAGAACTAATAAATCACTACTTTAATTTGATACAGGTGATTAAATTTTATCTCTTGTGCAAAATATATGATGTCTATATTCAAATTATTTGCTGTCTTGCAAGGATTCTAGCAATGCAAGTTATATTCTCCTAACTTTAGTCTATGATATTATATATATTACTGTATTCATTAAATTTACATAAATACATTATTTCAGTACAGTATTCATATTCATTAAATTAACTGAAATAAACAACATGTGTGTTACAAGTAAATGTGTAATTGACCAATATGCTGGGCTGTTTGTAAAGTGGTCTGACATTTAATGACACTATACTGAAAGGTCAGGTTTTAGGTCATTTTGCAAATTAGCTGGTTTTTTTAACAAGGCTATAATACAGTATACATGTGTGTTTGTGGGGGTATTAAAACATCTTGTGTTTGGCAAAACAAGTGCAGGATTTGGTAGTACAGTACTACTTATTTTTTATGTGGACTGTAATTATGTGTTATTCAACAGGATGATGATGATGAAGCATTAAAACCTCTTGTGTCTGGATCCAAGAGCAAATTAGCAAAACAAGTACAGGATTTGATAGTACTTATTTTTGATGTGGATACAATGAAAAGATCATTGGTGGAATTTGAGGTAAGTATCAATCATTCACAATTTTTATATATTATTACACAACCACATGGAGTTATTTCACACATATAGTAATGAAATGAATTAATGTTAAATTTGGTTTAATGTGGATACGAAGTTGATGATTTGAGAAAATGTTTGTTGATATTTTTGTTCTTTCTTGCCTGGTCCAAAGATCTAGTCTGTGTGATAATTTGCAGGGTTGGCAAAAAACACTTTTTTTCTTAGTTTTTAACCAAAGACTGTAGGTTTATTTATTTTTTATGCTATTTTGTTGGGTTTGATAAGTTATAAGTATTTGTAGCCCTTTATATAACTTTTTTATATGCTATGAATCATAAACATCACAATCAGAATGATTTAGCAATCATTTATACTCTTTTCCATCTCTAAAATTCAATGTGAAAAGGCCAAATACACAAACTTTGATCAGTCACCCAGACTCCTCCTACATGCTTAAAGGTAAAAACTAAGTTTATGTTCATTTTAATGCTTGTAAAAACCTATTCTTCTTTTACAATTGACAGTTTTAAAGAATTCATTTGGGTACAGTTGGAGTGAGAGAGAGAGAGAGATGGGCAGTGGCAACTAGGCTCCCCTGGACCTGTATAATACGTGATCTGAACACATTAGAATCAGAGGCTCAGAACCCAACCATAAACAGAAGCTATCACCAGTTATACTGGACAGTGGCAACTTAGCACCCTTATAACCAGCCATGTAAAAAAGCTTATTATCACCACTTTCACTAGTGTATAATAGTTCACATCCATGTACAGTCAACCCTCACTTTACGCGGTCCCACATTCCGCGTTTCCACGTTTACGCGGTGCCCTGCCAGAACCCAGGATGCTCACATTCCGCGGTGGGTGTACCCCTTTACACGAAGTATAATTTTTTTTATTTAGCTCATAAAATTCATACAAATTATCCGGCCAGAATATAATTTACATTGCTGGAATTCTTACAATTTGATGATCATTTTGAATATAAACATCATAGATTTTGCATTAGACATACAAATTTTAGATATAATGTTTACTCTTGAGTAAATATGTTATCTTTTGTGCAAAATATATGATATTTATATTCAAAATATTCCTGGTCTTACAAGGAATCCAGCAATGTCAATTATATTATCCTAACTTTAGTCTGATTTATTATTTATTACTAAAAAGGTAAACAGTCTGGTATTCCCACACATTTATCTAGTAGGGACGTTGGTGGGGGGAGGGAGGGAGGGACCGGCGACCGACCATCTGTTACCGTGTGAAGAATATTTTTTTTTTATTAACTGAAGATTTTTATTTTAGCTCATAAAATTCATACAAATTACCCGGCCAGAATATAATTTACATTGCTGGAATTCTTACAATTTGGTGATCATTTTGAATATAAACATCATATATTTTGCATTAGACATAAAATTTTTTGATAAAATGTTCACTCAGAGTAAGTATGTTATCTTTTGTGCAAAATATATGACATTTATATTCAAAATATTCCTGGTCTTACAAGGAATCCAGCATTGTCAATTATATTATCCTAACTTTAATCTGAGGTATTATTTAATACAAAATGTTAAAATTTATTTTTTTCACCCACTCTTTCTCTTGAAGGGAGGAGTGGTGGGGGGTGGGGGGGAGGGTTGGGACGGACTGACCATCTGGCGCTTGGAAGAGGGGAGGCAAGGTGGGGTACTTTGATTGACAGATAGTGTCGTGAAGAATATTTTTTTTTTTTATTATCTGAAGATATTTGTTTTAGCTCATAAAATTTATACAAATTACCCAGCCAGAATATAATTTACATTGCTGGAATTCTTACAATTTGGTGATCATTTTGAATATAAACATCATATATTTTGCATTAGACATACAAATTTTAGATAAAATGTTTAATCTGAGTAAATATGTTATCTTTTGTGAAAAATATATGACATTTATATTCAAAATATTCCTGGTCTTACAAGGAATCCAGCAATGTCAATTATATTATCCTAACTTTAGTTTGAGGTATTATTTATTACTATACCTGGTTTTTCCCCCAAAATTTCTCAGAGGGAAGAGCCAGCAGTGTAGTGTGAGAAGAGGGGGAGGGAGTCGTGTCCATTATTTGAATGGACATTAACTTGGCGACTGTATTTCTCTATTTCTCTTAAGTATTAATTGTGTGCATGTACCATCATAAAATTAAGATGTTATTTTTACTAGAACATAGGTATTGTGTTGGAAAAAGTGGAGTTTGGGGGTCAGCTGGTCTCTATTTCATTTAATCCCATGTTATGTTATTCACTTTACGCGTTTCTCACTTTCCGCGGTACCCTGTGGGTTACATTAACCGCGTAAAGTGAGGGTTGACTGTATATATTGAACAACCACAGGAACAAAATGCATCCCTGTTGAACACCCACATGTATTTCAAACGTTTCACTTTCATTTGCATTTACTCTTACTGTTTCCCTGCTGTTCTCCTAAAATGCTTTTACTGCATTTAATAGCCTTCCTCCCACCCCATACACTTGAAATACCTCCCACAGTACTTTGCTGTTCACCCTATCATACACTTTTCCAAATGTACTATAAATCATTAAAACCATCTGTAAGTAATAAAAACCAACAACAGAATTATTAAAACCAAGAAAAGGGGCATAGATTAAAAAAAATGTGGTTTAAATTGGCCAACCCTGATAATTGTAAATGTAATATCTCAGATATTGTTTAAAATTTTGTGTACTTGGAAGATTATTTTCATGATTATGTATTGTTACAGGTGTTAGGGAATGAATTTATTCACAAGACCTTAATGTACCCACAGATTGATGTGAAGAAAATGCCATTAGGAAAACTAAGTAAGAAGCAGATTCAGAATGCATACAAGGTTTTGTCAGAAGCTCTAGAGCTGATGAAGAAGCAAGAGAAGAAACCTGATGGTGAAGAACTTGAGGAAGCATCAGAATCTACTGCTGCTACAGTTATAGCCCAACTGTTAGATTGCTCAAACAGATTCTACACTCTGATCCCCCATGACTTTGGAATGAGGAAACCTCCTCTTCTGGATGATTTAGATCTTATAAATGTAATTTTTTATTATTGTTTTTTTTTTTTTTAGTTTGAGTTTTCCTCTTCTATATACGGTATAATCATTATATCAAAAGTAGAAAGTACCGGGTATGTTATGGTTGCTGTTGTGGATTGTATATATAATAGTGATTGTGACCCTATGAGAGTTCCCAAAGTTATCCCTCTCGTTTTTAAGCCATTTTCATATTTTTCAAAAGTAATAATGTTATTGAAATTGTGATGAGCAATAAAAGAATGCCATGTCTCGGGGTTATGGCTGATAAAAAAAATACTTTTTTTAGGATTATTTTATCACTCATTTTATTTTTACTCTAATTTTATATTTTGTTTTCATATTATAATCCTGCATATATAAGTACAATATCAGGGAGTGCATGGACAAATTGAATGCTTATAATAATGATATTCATATGTTATTCAGCAAAAGGCAAAAAATATATTCAAATATCTGGTAAAGACAATAAATGTTCTGGATATATGCAGTCAGAAAAATAAGTATTGGCCATGAGCAATGACAACCAACTGATATCGGTAACCATAGGTATACATTAACAGTTTTCGCACAATGTTTCATGTTGTTATGCACGGCAGGGTGGTAGATACATTTTTTTACTGTGCAGTCTGATCTTTCTATATAACTTCCATTTCCATAAATTTTCAATCGTGCATGACTCAAACCAATTTACAGAATTTTTTTTTTAATGATGCTGAATTTTAGTACCTAATTGTAATATAACCCACAGACAAAGATTGGTATGCTGGACAACCTAAGTGAAATTGAAGTGGCATACAACCTACTTAAATCTGAGGATGGTGAGGAAGATAAGGATGGTGACCCCATTGATAAACACTACCGCAAACTCAAAACAAAGGTTGATGTGGTGGACAAGAATTCTGACGAATACAAGATGATTCAAGATTATGTATCCAACACACATGCTTCAACACATGCACACTACAAGCTGGTTGTTGAGGAGGTATGGCTATTGTCCCAGTGAGTGTATTTTGTGTTACCTTTTGTGTGTATTTTTGTTTTTTTTACACACATGTGATGTTTGTAACTTTTTCTCCAGATACATTTGTTTATTGATTGTCTTCATACTTTCATATGATTTTTAATGTATATAGCCACATACATTTACATCTGTATTAATGAATTCTTTGGTGCCAATTTGGCTGTCTTTTATGTAAAGGATATTTTGCTTGTACAAGTATAGACCCTATGTTCAATATTGAACCGGTTTGGGGGAATTTCCGGTTTCCTGGGTCCTATGTCATCCATATTTTACCCTAGGCCTACCAGTAGGCTACATCAAGTTTTGCTTCCACATGCACTCGTACATGCTCAGTCAAACATTGTTTGCATGGGTTTGCTGTGATTATCAGATGGCATGGTGTCCCAGTTGCCATCAAGCAAATTTGAAGCCCTTCTCATCACTGATCCACTTTTATGGAGTGGTAACTGGCATTGTGTAAAACTTCCAAGTACCCTTTCAGCTGGCAGGGCAGAGTCGTTACTCCCAGGAATAATCAAAGGTATTTACATCAAAAACTTAAACTAGGTTTGCCACACCCAGATAATAATGAAGTGACTAATATAAAGGGGGAATGACAGTGTGGCAAGTTACTGGGAGTAATGTTCTGGCCCATCTTAGAGTATAGGTATAATTCTATTATGGTAGACTTAATCACTTGGCAGGTCTTTGTTAGCACTGCAGCTGTTGGACCATTTTCAAGAACTTGCAGTATGTCAAACTGAGTTTTTTAGTAAGTTTCTTCAAAGGGGTTTCTTCACTTATAGAAGAACTTAAAGGCTGCTTGGGAGGGGGGGTGGTCATTATTGGTGGCAAGAAGACAACAAAGAGTGTCAGTGATTAGAATAAGTATTTTAAGTGTAAAATCTTCAGGTGCATTCTGGTGCTTAAAATGCATTGTATGTGGAAAAGGTTAAAGGTGCAAGGTTCATCTGAATATGTGGACATAATTGCCTAGTTTATACGAAGCTTGGGTGTAAAGAGTAAGCCTTGTATGTACGAATCCGGTCCTTGTAAAGTTGGCAAAGGCAAGGATAACCTGTATACAGTACATGCAGTGACCTTTTCTCAAATGTCAGTAGTAAAATATAAATCTTTGAAAAAAAAGTGAAAAAATTTAAGAATCATTCTTAAACAGTACGAAAGTAAATGACATCTTAAAAAATGATGGAAATAAACAAAAACTTGTGTAACACCAGATGATAATATAAACTTGAATGATGATCAGTCATTATTTCCATGAAAAGTTAAAGGTAATGTATGTTAATATATGTTAAGACTTGGCAATAAACCATTTTTTACACCAAATGTATTCCATCTAATATTTTAATTTTATTTATTTTTTAATTTTTACTTCAGGCATTCAAAATTGAGAGGGAAGGTGAGAAGAAACGTTACAAGCCTTTCAAGAAGCTCCCCAACCGTAAACTCCTGTGGCATGGCTCTAGGCTCACAAACTATGCTGGAATTCTCTCTCAGGTATATATGAACATTTTCATCCCCCAGTTTTTCTGTTTTCTCTGTTGAAGGTAATGCTACTTGTTCAGAATACTCAAAATTCCAGTCATCATCTGTTCACCTTATTCATTGTTATATAAAAGAAATTTTTTAGAGTTTGTGCAGTATTTAACATTTTATAAAACTGACTGGAAATGAGTATGACCATGACAGAAATTAATGTTTCCATGTACATTCAATGGTTGTCAGTTATTTACAAGTGTTAAATTATCCTGGCTAATCATGAGTGTGCAGCCGTGCGTAACCAACATTGCACCACCAAATACTCGAGGACTGCAGGCAGTATTTTAATGAAGAAACAGAAACATACTTGTAGAAAAATTTCAACACACCTGTATGATTGTGTACATGATAGTTGATGTTCCTAGAACAACAAATGTAAATTTCTTATAGCAAGCACAAATTATCAATGAAATGATGATGATTAAGTTCAGCCAAGTCAGCCTCACCACAAAGGAATGTGGTTCTATTAAAAACCATATCAATTATTTTTAAATGGCAAACCAGCTGAGAACAAAACTGGTGCACAGAATTCAAGGATGAGTAACAGAATAGAAATAAAACAGAATTTTATAATATTAACATTCTGAAACATTAAATCAGTCACTTGTAAACCATAACACTTTTGTGAAATGCTGACGAGGCTACAGAATAAATGTAATGATAAGGTTAGGTTATGAATTCTCAGCTATGTAGCCATTTGCTAAAAGGTAAGGCCATATTTCAGGATGGATGAATATGTGCATTTTCTTGCACAACTTTGCCCCTCTTGAATAAAACTAACAAATTAGCTATATTACTCACTTTTACTAAGTAAAATCACATACTACATCAAATTAACTCTTGATAGAATCACAGGCTTTATAGGAAAGACCATATTTCAGCCTCAAGTGGAATATGCTGTTATCATCAATGATTCTCCAATATATATCTGTTGAGGAAGCTACAAAATGGGTCTATAGCAATCTTAAGAGAGTTAAAGCACAACTGTTTTCATTGTGGTGTCTAGTCCATTTGTTCTAATAATGTCCAGAGTACTTGCACAGGGCTTTGCACTTGAGTGCAGCTTGTGCATCCCTTGATACACCCACAATGAAGCAGTTCACAGCAAGATTTTGCAGCCTCAGGAAGGATGGTCCACAGAGGTTCCCATAATCCTTTGGAGTTCTTCATCCATCCCCCTTCACTTGGTTCCAGTAGTTTTGGTGAGAGAAGGAAACACTGACTCCAGATATGTCCTAAAGTAAATTTCCTCTCCACAGAATGAGACATTCATCTATCACCTGTTCAAAAACCACTTGTACACCTCTTTGAATTTCTGACACAGAAAATCAAACACGGGACGTATTTTCTTCATCTGATCATCTGGGGGTGTGGTATCATTATTATAAAAATGCAGACTCCTCGGTAGAATGGAAAATCTATCAGTTGATATTACCGGAGCAAAGAATGGGGTGCCAATCAGTGGATCTGTGCACCAGTAGTCTCAAAATTTGATTTTATTTACTAGCCGCATCAAAGGCAGTAAAGAAAAAAATATAAATTTCTTCTACAGTAGTGTCATACCACTGACAAAGTCATGAAGGTGTCATGTCGAGATCCTGTGTCAGAAACTGAAAATACTAGTTAGTTTCCTGAACAATCACATTCATTAATTCCAGCAAGGGGGGGGGGGGGTTAGAATAATCAATCACAAGACTCATTAGTGATATTTGCATCATCACTAATACCACAGCCAGCATCATCGAAGTCATGGACATCTGGCTGAAAACCCTCCATCTTGCCAGGTCCAAATATCTGGGTCTGCATTTGGCGGTAGGGTTGGTGGAGAATCCAGATTCTCAGATTCACCTGGTGAACTTTGAAGGTCAAGGCGGGAGGCACGGATATATCATGTACATGAAGAACCGGTAGGTCGTGGTTCACGGGTATTTCCTCTGCCGATGCCATATTCCTGGTGGTATTGGAGGTGAATCAAATTCCGTCTTATACGCTGACATATAAGTCCTCCGTGATGTCACTGATGACTGTAGCCTAGACAGGCCTGCAGCAGGTTCAGGTAAGGCTGGTTGAAGTGGCATCCTACTTCTGGTATGTCTCCCTGAAGTGAGATTCACTTCATTTTCGTCTTCATCTTTGAAGCTGGATAGATTTTGTTCATAATCAGGGTTTTGAATGTTGTCATCCAGGTCATTATCTTCAGCTCCAACAGTTGTGTAGTTTGTCGTGGCTAAGTTATCTTTTGTTCCAACATCAGGGAAAAGAATGGCATCAATATATTGTATATCTGGGTAGTGGACCTGCCCCAAGACATGCTCCACAATTCATTCGTAGGTTGAGTGAGAGGGGAAATGACAGGCTGTGGTGTGGCAGGCCTACACTCAGGAGTTCTATCCCTCATGCCCCCACCTCCACCCCCCTCCCCCACTACTACCCACCTGGATGCCCAGGACAGTTGTTACTAGTCACCTTTTCACTTTTTAGGCTGTAAGCTGTCACTAGTGAATGCGGGAGATTCGTAAATACAATGGCATTGATGCTGCAGTGATGATGTGGTCCTGTAGTTTTAAAACGAAGCTGACGCTTTATGGATTAAGACTATTAAATATACAATTTTGTCATATTTATTTCATAAATTTCTATTGTGAACCTATAAAATACTAATGACCAGTATTCTTTATTTTATACCTGTTTTTATACTTATACTACTCACAGGGTCTGCGCATTGCTCCTCCTGAGGCTCCCGTTACTGGCTACATGTTTGGAAAGGGCGTGTATTTTGCTGATATGGTGTCCAAGTCTGCAAATTACTGTTGTACTTCACATAGTAATCCTACTGGCCTTATTTTACTGTGTGAAGTTGCTCTAGGTGACATGTAAGTGTTTATATTCCTTATCTTTTGGTTTCAGTATAATTTTCTTTACACAGTTGTAGTTATTTTTTTTTTTATTAAAATTAAAATTAAAATTTAAAAAATTACTCTTCTGTTGCAGGTATGAAAGAAATAAGGCCGAATATGTGGAGAAACTGCCTAAGGGTAAGCATAGTACTAAAGGTTGTGGTCGTACCTGCCCTGACCCAAGTCAAAGCATTAAACTTGAGGATGGAGTGGAAGTACCTTTGGGCAAAGGTATTACAGCAGGTGCTTCCAACACTTCTTTATTATACAATGAGTATATTGTGTATGATGTAGCTCAGGTCAATGCCAAATATCTTCTTAAACTCAATTTTAAGTATAACTATTAAAGTAGTGTTGTTCCAGAACAATAGATCAATAACAAACTGGATTATTTGGGTCTTATTGCTTAATAGAAGTACTGTAGAGAAGGATTTCAAAGTTTTCAGGTATATTTTGTTTCATTGGGACAAAAATAATGTTCATAGACAAGGTTTTTAGTTTTTAATCTTGCTTCATAAAAAGGATTACAGGTTTTAAAAGTTATAAAAAAAAAGACAATTTAATATAACTTAATAAAAAAAATTGTAGTATTCAGAAGAGATATAAATACTCCTATGTTTTACCTTCTTAGGTGAATACCCATTTAATATGCAATTTATTATGGTTGTCACCTTTGTCATTGTGTTTTTTATATCCAACCTTGGAAATTATTAACCCTTCAACCCCGACTTACGACTGGGTTAGGGACCCAAATCCAGATCGTAAGTCCGACAGATATTTTTTTTTTTTTTTTTTTTAATAAAAATCTACAATGAAATACACCTAGACCCCGACTTACGACGGGGTTAGGGACCCAAATCCAGGTCGTAAGATCCGACATAGATAAAAAAAAATAAAAATAAAAAATTAATAAAAACTCTACAATGAAATACAGTACAGTAAAAGTAATGAATAATAATGAATGGATACAGTACAGTGAAAGTAATAAATAATAAGGAATGGTTACAGTGTGACTGAGCACTTAACCTTTAATGTAGTCAGCTGAATGCACATGGGGCCCCCATAATTTTCTAATTATACATGGAGACTACATTAACTGGAAACGTTTCGGTATAGAAAATGCGTGTGTCATTTTGAGAGAGAAAAAAAAAAAAAAAAAATTCTGCGGCGGTCGTAAGTCCCGACGGTCGTAAGTCCACGTAGTCGTAAGTCGGGGTCTAGGTGTACAGTACAGTAAAAGTAATGAATAATGAGGAATGGATACAGTACAGTGTAAGGAATGGATACAGTGTGACTGAGCACTTACCTTTAATGTAGTCAGCTGAATGCACATGGGGCCCTCATAATTTTCTAATTATACATGGAGACTACATTAACTGGAAACGTTTCGGTATAGAAAATTCGTGTCATTTGGGAAAAAAAAATTAATAAAAAATCTGCGGCTGTCGTAAGTCGTAGCAGTCGTAAGTTGGGGTCTAGCTGTATGTTTGCCACACATCTGATCCAAACTGGCTGTCCTTGCATATGCCTCTCAGTCAGCTTCCATTTTTATACCTCATAAAGATTTTAGTTTATTAATTTTAATTTAAATTGTGGTTTCATTTATGGCAATTAAAATAAAGAATGAGTTTGAAGATGGGTGTTCTTGACATTCTTTTTCAAGGTCATGTGTCTGCTGTCTTTTTTCTTTTTCTTTATTTAATAGATTGTGGGTTATTTAGTAATTATGGAGCTCTTGGTTTTAGCTGTGTCAGCCAGTTCTAAGTATCCCGTTTCTCACTGACCAGTTGAGAGAACTTTTTGCTTTTGAATGGCCCATACTGAGAGAGAGATATACAGTAAAATCCCATTTTTAAGAAATGGCTTGGGACCAAATTCATTCCATATAAAATGATTTTCCTTAAAACCAGTAATAGGTACAATAGTTTGACCTAAGAATTGTACTGAAATACAGAAAATATGCATAACCTTGGAAAATAAACTTGTAGACGTGTTTTTCCTTCATTAACAAATGTTTACGATTGTATGATTACAGTAAACTTGTAGACGTGTTTTTCCTTCATTAACAAATGTTTACGATTGTATGATTACAGTATTGATATATTCATATTAAAAAAATTATATAAAATTGACATGACTGTACAGCACAGCACCAAAATGTTTTTAATACAGAAAGTACTTGAAGGTAAGTTAATGTATGAAACAATTGTTTAAATACAATACAGTAGAAGCCAAAAATCAGGACTGCTTGGGGATTGGGTCGGTCCGGATTTTCCGGATTCTCAGGCAGTACTTTTAAATTCAAATTTCAGGAGAAATAAAGAAGAGATGAACAGGTATATTTTGATAGTTTATTCATTAGCAAATATAGCATGCTTCATTTATCAAAACGAGCAGTTTTAAAGATAAAGCTGTGAATTCAAAAATTTTATTCTTTGCCTCTTTTATATCATAAATTGTAGACTTTCCAATGTCGTATGTTTCCATTAGAACATTATTGCTCACACCACGTTCTAGTTTCTTAATTATTTCAAGTTTGTCACTCAATTTCAACGTGTTCTTCTTTCTCTTCACACAACGAAGTTTATCTACTTTAGGAGCCATTATTATGGGCTTGTATAGTACGGTACTCTGTAAATGGAAAGAGTAGGACTCAAAATTACATAAGTTGTCAGTTTGATTGCTCGTTCTAAAGTGGCGACCGCGTGGTCGCTTGTTGTCGCTGTGCAGCTGTGGCGCTCACGCATGCACACATACACACAAAAGCCAGCTAAAAAAAGAAGAAAAAAAAGTTAAGTTTGAGTTTTCGAAAAGCCGGATTCTCGGGTGGTCCGGATTTCTGGCATCCGGATTTTTGGACTTTTACTGTAATGGAATTGATACATGTTATAGTGCATAAAAACAATGTTATACTCCTGTTCTGTTCATTATCACACAAACAATTGGTAATAGATGATGTGTTGTCATACTTATCTGTTGAGTAATGGAACTTATGTGACATCACGGGCACCAAATTCTGTTTCCATACGTCTTAACCTGTAGCCCACAAACTTGTATGCACACCAATTATTATACTATATGTGGAGGAGAGAATGTCATTACTGATATTTATTCATTATTTATATACTGAGTTACATAAGTGAATCAAACAAAATATTACTGAAACCTAAAGCACTGAATAATACCAAAGCAAAATTATTTTACTGCAAAAATATGTATAGTACTATTCCTTAATATGGTACAATTCAAATTTAGAATTTTACTGTAATTTCTATCCAGTGTCCACATGTAACACACTGTTTATTGATGTGTCCAAGTTTGTGAACATGTCTCAAATTTAAAAAAAAAATTGGCCTGTCTGTAAATAAAGAATACAAAATCTCAGATTCATTCAATAATTATCTGTATTTTCCATCATTATCATGAAGTGTTATTGGTCCTTGCATGATCGAGGATTTGGCCACCATTAGTCGTATATACTTTTGTTTTACGTTGCTAATTTGAAGAGTTGGGGTATATGACAACCAAGTTTAGGTGGATGTGTAGGAACCTTTCTCTCTCAATCCACCTTTTTTCCATCTTGTTAATGATAAATAATATTTGATTTGAAGGTTGAAAAAGTTTGTGTTGGCAAACGGAAATTTTTTTGCTATTCTTGTCTCTTTTGAATAGAATTTTGGTTTTACACTTATTTTTTCCAATGCAGTAATTTCTGCCATTAATTACAGCTACACTTTAATTTTTTACCTAAAACAGGCAGGTGAATGTATATGTTGGTGTAAAATGTTGCATATGTGTTGTATCAGTGAAGATATATATGCACATGTAGAGTTACCTGCATACCGGGTATGTAATGTTCCTCGCTTCGCAGGTGCCTTGGTACACGTGGCAACACAACAGTGATAGTCAAGGTACCCCCAATTGGTTTTTCCCCTCCACCTCCCCCATTTGGGGTACCCTTGCTATGCAGTGATGCCACATGTACCGAGACACTTATGAGGTGAGTAACATTACAAATGCGGGAAACTACATACAGTATTGACATGGTGAACCTCTTTGTGAACAAGACACTGTTCAACTTGTCAAGTGGGCCATGGATTTTATGATGATATTAATTACCACAATGAAAATTACTAATCCAGCAAACACTGACTGTTATTCATGATGTAAGTTTTCAGTTTTCCATTAAGTAAACAATGTACAGTATAGTACTGGTTAATGGCATTATAGGTCCAGTAAACAAGGTGTAGTACTGGTTAATAGTTGTAATGTGGATGTAATAACAGAAACTTCTAGAATGGGTGGTGAAACAGGCCCCCGGGTCATTTTTTGGCCCACCGAGGGTCTCAGGGTGGCTGGTCAACCAACCTTATGTTCAGTGGGTTTTTCTCTCTCTCAGGGGAGACTCAGGGTGATATAGAGTTTGTTGATTGATATGGTTGAAATTTAAAGGATATATACTTACCGTATATGTCAGCGTATAAGACGGAATTTGAACCATAAAAAAATCAGCCCAAAATTAGGGGTTGTCTTAAACGCTGGGTATAAAATCCGAACCTCTACACCCTGTGGTTTAGTGTGTATATTAAAATAATAAAAATGAATTATAAACCTGTCTAACATACCGTAAAATAACATAATAAATGCAGGTATCATCACGCACCCCCCGCCATTTGGAACTGCCGCCAAAGTAAACAAACAGCCGTCTTTAAATACCGGTACGGTTTCTTGGATATGCTCAAGTTGCCACTCCTTCATAAGCAGTAGCACTCTCTCTGGGTGAACATTATACAGTGGGGTATGCTATAACGAATCTAATTGGTTCTAGAACCTTGTTCGTTATAGCATTCGTTTGTTATAGGATTAATCCGTTCCAGGCCCCCAAATACAACCACTTAACACTGAAAAATATAATATAAAATTGTAAAAATTGTAAAAAAGTGCATAAATATGCATCTAAACCCCTGAAATAAAGAATATCATTAATATTTGTAATAATAAAACAATAAATTAGAAAAAAAAAAAAATTATGTTCGTTGTAGGAGTTTCGTTCGTTATAGCATTCTCAATTTTATAGGTAACACCGTTCGTTATAGGAATATTCGTAGTAAGATCCGTTCGTTATAGCATACCCCACTGTATTAATATCCAGCTACCATAAATCAGTAAATCCATTTCAAGTAAATGGTAAAATTTTACTCGACACCAACATTAGTTCCAGTAAAATAACCGACGCCCAAGTGACGTCACTAGTGTTTACACTACACCAGCTGGTAACGTTTGATGCCAATACTTGAAGTGAATTGGCTTTATTTTAAATAACCAAGGATGTGTTGCTTAGCAGCATCACTCCACTGATCAGTGGGATGGTTGGTAAAGGACAACTGGGGCAGTAAGCTCCCAGTGGTAAGTATCAGATTTGCGGTTGTCTTATACAGCAAGTATAGCTCAAAACCTACGTTTTAAATGGAAATTTTGGGGGTTGTCTTATACACCTTGTGGTCCTGTACACCGACATACACTATTATAAAACTTAACAATAAATAATGGACCTGCAATACGATGATGTTACAGGGTAGCAGTCATACCCATTAAATCTGCATAGATTATTATTAACATTGAAAATAATAGATGGCTGCCAAAGAACTTATAATTTCAATGTGGCCTACTGATCAAAAAAATTTCCCCAACCCAGTTCTAGAACAGTGGAAAGTAAACATTACAAAGAACTTATAAACTCCATGTACATAAATAAAAAGATATGGTAAATGCAGTACTGTACATCATAGTTT